ACCATCCATTTGTAAAACTCTCACAAGATGGTGGCGATAAGGCATTGACCTCAAGGGGTTTAAGATAAGATTCGTCAGTTTTCTTAATCTAGGGTTACCATTTAGACACAATGTTTGTACTGTGCAGTATGATAATATTATGAGCACAGTATTATAATAACAGTAAAAATATATAAAAAACAGAGATGACTAATTACCCTGTTAAATATTAGTCACTTGTTCAACTGAAAACCCCGCTGCCGATTATTTCAAAGCTGTGGTGTCTGTAGGCTTTGCTATTTTCAGACTTTAGCAGATGCTAACAAAGTATGTGATTGATAATAATAATGTATCAAAGCTAAGACTAAAAGGTCACACAGACATGGGGATCTATGCTTGCTTTGTTCACCAAACAAAAGACTCCCAGACTCTTGAAGAAAATGTCAAGGAAGCTTGCCACCGAAAGGCTGTTTAGTACAACCCCAGGTTTCATTTGGCACTTGACACAAGAGGGTGAAAAAAAGATTGTTCAAAGTGACGCATGAGTCATGTCATGCCAAGCTTAACTGCGATATGCCACCTCACGTCACCTTTTCATTTTTGGCCTTTTAAAGGCAGAGCTTCAGATCCAAAAAAGAGCTTGTGAGTGAGCAGTGTAAATCATTTTTCGACCCACACTTTGAGGTTCTGTGTGTGTCAGGCACCATCTGCTGGTGTTGGAATGATCTGGAACTAGTGCTATTAATTTAAAGTCTGCAGGAAGACCACACGTTCCCGTTTCAGGGTATCCAACCGAGAACACTACACATCAAGATAATTGGCAAGAAATTTCATTTCTCCAGGGACATTCAGGTCTTTCTTTCAACTTGTGATATTAAGCCTCATTGATTTCCCTCTCTTCTAATATTCACCCTGTCAATCGCTGCACATCGTCTGTCATCCCATTGGTCCAGATTGTTCACTGGAACATTCAAAGAACACCCAACCCCGTGGGCCTGGAAGTATTCTTCAAGCCATTCAGCACGGATTTTTTTTATCAAGCTCTAAGGGAGCCACAACCAATTAGGACAGTTCCTGTCCAATGACAGTCGTTGTGTGTCTGTATGAGAAGCACGTGCGCATTTATCCAACCATACAGTATGTTGCCGAACAAGAGGGTGCCTTGTATCCTCTCACAATGCAGCCTAACTGAAGCTAAAGCACTTTCACACCTCTTTGGGGATATATTGTCTGTGTGTGTGTGTGTAGCTCCCCAGTGGATCAGTGAGAAAGACATTCATGGAAAGGTTCACTGCTCTTCCTGAGTTTTGACTGCCTGCTGCTCGTCGTACCTCAAAAGACCAAGACCAACGGGCTGTTTTTCAAATTAAAAATGTGTTATGCTGCATTTCCATTCAGCAGAGCGTTTGTAGCATTTGGTGTGTTATTTCGGTCAGCTTTCAACACCAAGGCAGTCACTTTAGCAACTTTGTGTTTTTGCATGCGCATATGTTCTAAATATAAAGATGAATTTCTGAGGTGATATTCAAATAACTGCGCTATAGCACAGAATACAGTGCTGTGTGCGTACGCCTCACCATGAAGGCACCACTGAAGACACTCAAAATGAAAAATAAAATATTTGTGACAGCAAATACAATCAGTTAAAACGGAATATGCTGTGAAACACAACAAACAAAGCCTTCTCATTGCAAAAAAATGAACTACCCCACATACACATTTATTACTCAGACATAATCCACCATACTATTTGTGCACACCATAAGGATCAATAGATATCACACCATTAATAGACAACTGACAATTCTGCCAACATAACTTTCTCAGCATATAACTGTAACCTGGAGCATAACCAGATGGATCTTATATTGTCTTTAGGACCTAATTGACTGATGCATCCTTTCTGTGATGGTGCTGGTCCCCGGAGTGTTGACTAATTTGACATGCTGGGGAACGGGTTTCAGGAGAGAGAGAATGCAGGCGAGTTGGATACATTCACGGGCATTCAATACAATTAAATGATTTACTGGTCAAAACACAATGGAGCTGTAGAGCCACATGTCTGCCACACAAACAGATACAGGAACATACAAGACATACAGGAGGAGTTGCACTGGGGATTTTGAGCTACATACTGTAAGCCTACAGCCTACAAAAGCAATATTACTGAGACATACAAAAATGCCACTATGTATTAGAGGAGTCTATGTTTACACTGTCTGTGATTTGGAGGCCATTTTGAGATTCCAGTTAGTGCTTTAGGTTCTGTTGAAAAGGTAAACTATTTATATTTCATCTTAGTTCACTGATGTTTCAAACAGAACCACACGTAAAGGTCACTGAAGCTTGTGTCCATTCGTTAGACTTTTTTGTATATTCTGGTCCAAACAACGTTACATTCCTGCTTTAATCATTCTCATCCAGTCACCCTAGCTGCAAGAGCAGTGTTTTCATGCTTCATGTTTAGAAGGTGTTTGTGGATTTCTTTGACTTAACTTTTCTGAAAGCATCACAAAAATTCATGTCACTGTATGCAAGACACCAATTTATAATTATTAACTTGCATTAAGGCATGTAGAACGTCACTATAAAACCTTTGCTTTACTCTACAGAAAAGAAAATTAAAGATTAAGAAAAACAGATATAGCAACGTGTTTTTCATCTTCTTTTTTTTGGCAATTTGTTATACTGAAAGTAATGCATCAATTTTAAACGTTTTTGTACTTAATTCTTGTGGTTTCACCTCAGTCCATCACATACAGAATTTCTCTGGAGAACGGCTTTCTTCTGGAGAGTGTCTGTCTAATAAATCAGGTTGTGATTTCACTGATTGGATTCAATTTGGGTGTTAGAACCCTGGAAACAAACATCATTTGTTTGGAATTGTAATTTAATTTAATAGGCACAGGCTGTCACTGTGTTGTTTTGAATACATGTAATCTCTCTTGGGAGCAGTGTGCTGAATTTAAATGCCACTATTCATTGACCAGCTGCATCAATTGATTTGGCTTTAAACCCCTTAAAGAAGGAATATAACACATCCTGAACATTAATATAGCAGCAAACAACTATTTGCTATGCAAGGATATAGTGGAGTAATGTCTACCTGAGCATAGAATGAAGTCGCTCTCCTTCTGTGTGTGTTGTTGTCAGAGCTTCTCCTTGATTTGTTGTCATAGCTGCGTGTGCTTTTAGTGCATTTCAGTGCATGTGAGCGTGCCCCACTGTTTGGCTCACGACTGTCGCTCTGCACTGCTCTCATGCGGCGGTCACAGCTGATAATGCCGTGCCGACCGGCAGCGTAGTCGCTGAAGCATAGCACCCACCCTCCGGTTCCCCCTCACACTGTTAGCACCGTCAGCTACGAGCCTCTGGCTCAGGAGTCGCCTTGTTGAGAGCCGTTAAGAGGCAATCGAATTGCCCCCATGTTATGCACCTTTTAACTATTGTGCTAATATTGTGCCTGGTGCTAATAATCCACTTGACTGCATCAGGCAGCTCTGACGACGTTGTTTTCTTTACAACTAGATGTGACAGATCAGAGACAGGAAGATGTAGTATCCGGATGAGCATGTGTGGAGACTGTCCTTGGATGTACAGCAAATGGAGAAAACATCCGGTCTCAGCAAATATATTGTAATCAAACTAAAGAGGTTTTCACTTGGGATTAGTTGTTTACTTTCCTCTATGAGGAGAGCATTCAAATTGTTAATTCTGCTCAAGTAGAGTTGACATGACCAACTTTTTTTTGTCAAATAGAACCTGTCAGTGTCCTTTTTAGTGACAGCAGCAATTTGGCAGCTGGCTGTTATGACCAGGGTCAAAGGTCCATACCCACTGACTTACAGCAGCTGCTGACCACGTGTTGAAGCCGTTTTTTTATACATTTTATTTTTTACAGGAGTAACCAGTTATTGATATGGGTTTGGTCATAATTAACAATTGCCTGTCACATTCTTCCCCTGTTTTCTACAGCCGTCACTGACTCATTAAAAAGTGACAGGTTGGATATCAATATCAGCATAATTTTAGCCATTCTCTGTCACGTGTTATTTGGAATTTGGCGAAAAAGCACATACTGTAAATGTGCACTAAAGTTTAGAAAGGACAAATACATATAGTATATCTCACCAGAAAATAAAACAGTGCAGCATCAGGCTATAGTCTATATACATGCAAATCATAAAGACGCCACTAAACTCGGCCGGTAAATTGGACATGCTGTTAACCCACACAGGTTTATCAAGAGCGCTGTCGTTCTTTTCACCTCATTTATATCACCTGCAGTTTTTAATAACTTGTTAAAGGGTTGATAGGATACAGCACAGGTTGTGCAGCCAACACAGCAGTCAGTCACCTGCCCGGCAAGAAGCGCTATGTCGAGGACGCGCTGCCTCTGGAGAACCCAGCTAATTAGAAACTGGAAGGTACAAACAGATCTGAAATCTGCGCTCCGTGGGTTGGAAAGGACATCTTGACACAGGCACACTGCCACATCTCAAGAATTAAAATAGATTACAGCTCACTTAGAGCACTTTTCCCGTGCTGGATTACGGCACAGAGCAAATGTTTGCTTTCTGTCGTTTTACACCAAAGGCCAACCCGGATCAATACTATAAACAACCGACCTGCTTTACAAATAAATCATCCCTAATGCAGATGCGTGTATGTGTGTAAGACATAGAGTGTTTACGCGCTTACACGTTCACACTCATTGACAGAAACGGACTCAAAGTGTTCATTTGGAAATGGACAAATAACACACGACTGGGTGAAGCGGAATAGTCTGGCTACAGCAAATTCACCTTGAAAGTTTTATATCAGGAATCACAGCCAATACATCACTGTGTATCACCCTGCTGGACTGGACAACTGAACCATACTGGCTGGAAATTATTTTACATTCATGGCATTGAGCAATATTTAGACTGATCGAAGCTATGGATTATTATCTTTTTACTATCTATTTTTGTTGGTCAAGTTTGCTCCATCACACACACTCACAAAAAATAATGCCTTACCTTCACGCCATAAGTTTGAGTGAATCTTTGTTTTTACAGGTACCGGCTGTTAAATCCAAGAGCATCCACAATAGTTCCTACGGTGTAATTCGCTTTGCACATTGTTTACTCTTTATAATTTAACCGAGTCGGTGCAGCGGCTCGGGGGCGAGGCATCAGGACAGAATGTTTGCGAGCAGGAAAATACACAGAAGTAAAAAAAATAGATAAAAATCTGATTTCAATCACTAAATGTTTTCCGGCTGTTCAGCGGAAACCTCAAATGATTTTCTTCCGTTTCAGTCTTTTGAGAAGGGTGGTAGAGGTTGAAACTGTAGGCTACGGTGTCCGTATGGTTTCCAGGAGCTTTACGCACGGAGTTACCTTCGGTACTGACGGAGGAAGGAGACGCGGCGACTATAAAGAACTGAGGAAAATCTAGGCGGGGTTACATCTGTTTAAACCCTAGCAGAGACGTATATTTCCTTTACTGTCAACATGCACAGGGGAGACTTTATAGTATCACCTTCTGGTTGCCTCACGTTTTCCGTGTACTGCACTCTCCACTTTGCGCCACGATCTGCACTTTTTGCTATAGTACGTTAAAAAAAAGGCACGGATGTGGTTGTAAATGATTGCATCCTGTGATGGCGAAGTGGACGAGATTTGAAAGATAAATAGTTGGCTAATAATTGAACGCACATTCATGTAAGAGCTGCAGAGTGCATTCGTGCAAGACATGGAACATGGTAATAGAGTGGGAAGTAAAAAAATAAATAAAACAGTTGGACTGTGGTGAACACTGCCTTTGGACCCATTGTTTTATTGCATATTGTTTTAGGAACTAGCACATAGGCTGTTTTTGTCAATGTGATAGCCTCAGACTCATGCAAGATGCACTCATACAACTTTACAAGTGTTCAGACAAAGTCAAAATTAAGGTCGAGTTCGAAGATGGGTGTGGTCTGACCAAGGGTGTAGAAGTATGGGGGTGTAAAGTGGGGAAAGAGCCTTACACTTTACACCCTTGGCCTATTTTGATGTAGCAGCTGGTGTGAACACATCCCAAGATAGTTATTACCAGTTGCTGCGCTGGTATTGTTTTTACCTTGTAAGTCTTTGTGTGAGTCATCAGGTGTTTATATTTGTCTGTCTGTGGACAGATTTTTGTGCCCGTGATAGCGTCACACTCATGCAATGCTGCAGTCACGAAACATTACAGGTGCGTAGTTGATATCAAGACGAGGGCCTAGTTCTGAGATGGCTGGGGTCACCCCCTGTCATAATTCAGTAAGTGACACCTCCGAGCTCTCCTGGCTTTTTATTCTAGTTTCCATGTAAACAGCAGCCAGTGTAAAAATGGGATGCTTTGTGAATGCAGCTAACTTTTGGAAGGATAAAAAAACAGTAGTATTCTGTACCCTGAGGGCAATCATTGAGAAACAATATAGGCCATGAATTCCTCATCACATCACATTTGAGATTTATTTCAACTGGTAGATTTGAGATGCTTCCAACAACACCAACAACACACAGATCACCTGCCTCAGTCTGTGCAAATGAAGACAAGTAACCAGGAGAAGAGCTGTTTGATTAGTAACTTAATTTGCATCATGACCCACTCTTCACCTTGTTGCTTTAATATGTGTAGTCTGAATCTAAATATATTTGCTTTCCACTACACACCGGGGGTCTCATTTACAAAACAGTGTGTAGGATCAACACTACTAGGACACCATTTGTTTTTGTATGAAGTTTGTCAGAAATAACACAAGAGTCTTTTCAAGTGCCACACATACCTCACAGATTGAAGCTTTGGGTTTTCAGCCTGTAACCGATGTTATTAGTTGTGTCTGCATCCTGGAAAGCAGTATGGTTACAGTGAAGATCCTCATTCCAAGTCTCATTATTTTAGAGCTAGAGTTATGCGTCTTAACTGTAATCGAGTAGAGTGTAAGTCATTATTTACAAGGAACTCATGGATGTTTTTTTACGATATAAATTCCTGCCAGTGTGATCAACATTTGTTAATTTGTCCAGTGGTTTTACATCAGCTTGCTCTAATACTTCACACAGGTGAGACTTAAATGAGGATTTCTGTGACAGCATAACCTAATACACAACACAACACAATCTAATCAATAGAGCACCTTGTTCTCATTACCTGAAGACAAAAAGAGGGCAATCACTAAACAGTTGTGTTCTGTCAGAGCCTCTCATTGAGATTAGCAGACCATCTTTTTACCTTTAAACTTTCTCCATTTGACATGGAAATACGATAGTGTTCAAAGACCACTGGCACTGTAAGAACAACATTGCTGATATTAACTGAAGTAGGTCATTTATTTGAGTATTTTATATTTCCATGTTTTACTTTCTTCTCCACAACACAGCAAGGGGGGAAATACATTTTTAATCTCCATGTATCTGATGACTGTAATTCCTGTTTACTCTGTAGATAATAACCTAGCATTCATAATGAAATGTGACATAGTCAACTAGCAGCATGATTTATTATATTGAGTGTCCCTTGAAGAGTACAGAATTAAAACACTGTTTACATTCCTGCGGTGAAAATTACAAAAAAATGTAATAAGTAGAACTTTTTGTACGGTAAACTTTAATATCAACTGGATTAGATTTAAGGATCTTGTTCATTCTTTTGCATTCATTTATATTTGGTAATCATTCAGAGAGAAACCACCACACATCTCTGCACCCTAAACCACCCATAATACGACACAATTGCCAGATACATTTTGTTTTGAGTATTGTTTTTTTTCCCTACAATCACTCCCAAGCCACTAATGTTAATTTAACTCATTGCTAAATTTTCTTCCGTGTAAAATCCAGCTAGATGCAACAAGTCTGGGGATGTTCTCCAAGGCCCCCAAGAGGCATTTTGTGATATGTAGGACACAAGTAATTGAAGCATCACAGTACAAGGGATCCTAGATACATTTCAACACCTAAAATCCTCACAGTGGATGAAGTATCACAGATTAGTGATACATCCTGAGTGTGCAATTTTCCTCTACGGGAAGCTGCCCTTTCAATAAATGGCTTCTCACAGTTGTGTGCTCTTGTGGCGCCATCTGTTCTTACGCAGATAGCCAAATCACAGTTCAGACTTTCCTACTGATACACATTTAAACACTCAGATGAATATGCCCAACCAGTACATACAAACATGCACAGTCCCCAGGCTTGTTGTGGGAGGCACAAACACATCTAACTGAAGACTGCCATAAGGAAACACGGCAGCCTGGTACTGTGTGATATGGCCTCTATTAACTTGAGTTGAGGAGTGTATGTTGGCAGCGTGCTAAATAAATCATAGAAACTTAGATAGTGGTGCTCAGTTTATGCTATTTTACAACACCGGCTTCAACCTTGTGTCAAACTATTGAAACGTTTTATAATCCACCAAGGATTTCTTTCAGCCGGGAGATCCACAATATGATATCTTAATGTCAGGGGTAAGTTCACTTCAGGAATTGGAATTCATTATAGCCTCATGTTGAATAGGACTTGGAGAGACAGATTGTAGATTCTATACTGTTCCTCAAAGCCTGGCTAAGGCACAGAGCCACCACCAGTGAGTGCATGCCGACTTGAGGTGAGCCGGGGAAAGGCACAGGCCTGGAAAGAAGGAGGACACTACTGAAGGGATCTCACTCCTTCTTTCAGTCACATGAACACATACAGCACACGCGCATACTCAATCCATTGACTAACTGAAAGTGAATCATATTTTATGCACTACCTGTCATCGCTGTAAAGTTCACCTCATCCTATAAAGAATTTACGATGTTACCACTGGTTAGCACCAAATAAGCATGCGTGACATCCTATGCCTGAAACAGGCTCGTTCGCTGGTTGTTACTCGCTGTATGAGCTGACACGTTGTATTGAATGACACAAAAAGACAAAGGGGGAGAGGGTTTTGGCATGGCAGCCAGTTTGGAAGATGATGGTGACAGCAGAGGCACCACAGAGAGGAGTTATGGAGAGATGCGGAAGAGAGAGAGAGAAATGATTAGGACGAGATATCTGGGTATGAGAGAGGCACCGGCAGCTGCCTTTCCTCCAGGGAAAGTCGGGTATTTGAACGATAAATCTTGCAATATTCTCTACTTAGGTTATTCTAAGCACATTCCCACAAAACAAGCCAAAAACCAACGAGGAATCCTAATAACACTTATTGTGCAGTCAGCCACAATGGTGCACAACATATTCTGAGCACAGATTTTGTATTTTGAGTCCATCCTTCTGACTAGTGCATGAAGAAATGGATGTGCTGCAGACTCCTCTTATAACACACGACTTCTAGTTACCACCCTTTTCTCACCTCGGTCATTAATAAATTATTCCACATAACAGGAGGCAACCACGTTTGTTTTTTGTGAATTCATTCATATATTAAATACATTTACAAACAAATACATTATATCTATACCTATACCCGCCTCAATTAAAACTAAGCAGGACAATTTTAGCTGCAGTGTATAAGCGTATTACGGATGGTTGACGTTTCAGGAACTAGCTTATTTGCTTTCTTGAAGATTGCAGATTTCTTGCTTTTCTGGCAGATTTTGATCCTTTGGGGCTGTCGTGATATACAGGTGTTGAAAAGTTATTTGAAAGATTAAATATTGATATCATGACAATAATACACATCTGATAATGTAGTGTAAATAATCCAGCGCATCTTAAATTGTGTTTACGCACAGTTATGGTTACAGACTCTCTCCATCTCCTTACATTCGTATTGCGAGTGGAATTAATTTCCCCCGAAAAATAATAAAAACGCAAAGTAAACTGAATTAAAGATGAATTTGACTGATTTTTAATTTTCTATAGATATTGCAATAATTGTGTTACTGTGAATGCTTTTCCTTAATAATTATGTAGTAACATTTTGATATAGTGACAGAGTCAAAGTAGCTGTTTCCCCCTGCTTCCAGGCTTTATGCTAAGCTAAGCTAAGCTAACTGTCTCCGGGATCCATTTTAATTTAAAAAAAAAGATATTCGTTCCTTACCCAACATCCCTTCAACCCTCGTCTTTTCATCCCTTTAGCTCCCGAAGTCCATCCCTCTCACTTCAACATGCAATAAACCATTTGAAACCCATATTGTTATTAGTGTGGTCTTTGTTAATGAAATAATCATTAGAGAATAATCAAGGTTTTAACACAAAAACACTGCACAAGCTTGTCCACTTTGACTCTGATAATAATCACTTTAGGCTTAGTCTTGAGTCTTTTCACCCTTCACACTACAGCTGCTGATGCCTCTGCTGCTACCTACACATATAGAGAACCACATCCACACAACATCCATGGGCTCACCTTTCCACTGAGACTGTGTTTTGAACCCCTCCCCCTGTTTTCTCAGAGTCACAGAGTCTGCCCGGTCTTCAACCACACAAACACACCCGTGCCTCTGACCTACAGTGCAATCCAAAGGCGAATGTGTTGGGCAAAAGAAAAAAAATAGCCAAACAGATATAAAGAGACACCTTGTGAAACTAAGAGTTGTA